CTACCCTGAGTTTATTCCTCTTTTGGTTTCTCTAGTGCTCAACCTCAATGAATTGTACCACCATCCACCCTAATTGCTCAAGAGCAAAGCCTGAAAGTCATTCTTAATTTCCCTTTCTCTTATTTCCTATTTTCACCCCACCAGAAAGCTCTGTGGACACAAGCTCCAAAATAACTCCTGAATTCTGTCCATTTTTCTCCATTATTACCACTTAAGTCAAAGTTGCCTTAATTTCCCATGTAACTTATTGAATTAGAATGCTATTTTTAAAGATTTATTTATTTATATGAGAGAGAAAGAGAAAGAGAGAAACAGAGAGGGGAAGGGGCAGAGGGAGAGAGAAAATCTCAAGCAGACTCCACACTGAGCACAGAGCCCGACATGGGGCTTGTTCCCATGACCCTAAGATCATGTCCTGAGCCAAAATCGAGTTGGCTGCCCAACCCACTGAGCCATCCAGGTGCCCCTAGAGTGCTATTTTTAAGCTTAGGACACATGGTCCCTTAATTGGTCTCCCTGTCTTCATTGGTGACCAACAACTGTTCCTCCCTTGAGCAACCAGAAGAATTATTTTAAATATGTTAGACTGTTTATTTTTAATTCTCTCCATGCTTTCTTATTGCATTCAAAATAAAATCTCAACTCTATCTTCTTAGAAATCCTATATAATCTGGCCTCTGCTTATTCCCTCTGCTTAGCATGCCTTTTTCCAAACTTTTCACGGCAGATCCTTTCTTGTTATTCATACCTCCCATCATTGCTTCCTCAGAGAAAGGTTTTGCTGCATACGCAATCTGTCCCACACTACCCTGTTTTAATACAGTACACAGCACTTCTTACAATCTCCCCCTTCAGTAGATCATAAGTTCCTTGAAACTGAAAGTAGCCCTTTGAATTCATTACTACAAGTAGTCTGGCAACTGGACAATTCTTAGAAGGTTCTCTGTATTGATTAAATGAATGAATGAATGGATATTCCACTACTGTAGAGCTATTTTGTGATATGCCCAACACTCCCCCTCCTTATTTCTTTCCCTTTCTTTTTTCTTTTTTTTTTTTTAAATGGTTGATCATCTGATGTAAACTTACCAAATCTTCTTAAGGTTGGCCCAGAGTTTTAAGTGGATTCACGAAGACCAGAAGTTATGACTGGTTGCTGGTTGAAGCCACAGTTGCATGTCAACCAATAAGTTCTTGTAAAATGACATGTCTTAGTGCAGATTTGATTGACATTTGTATTGACTGCCAAAAAGAGCTGTCATCACACACCACCATGATACTGTGAGACTCCTGGCAACCTAAAATTCTTAATAGGATGACTGGCTCAATGCCCTGCAAACAGCACCACTGTTGGTAGTATCTTCTCGTCGATGCTTATTGATGATATAATAGTTGGAAATCCTTGGCAATTGTCTGAGGGCTCTCTATCCTTGCACATGCCATCTTGGATTAATTTATATTATACTGGATTCATCAATAGCCTGTTTTTTTCTCACAGATGTCGATTCTGCTCTCCATGATGGCAAGTAGAGCAAAGAGGCTTTTATCACAGTGAAACTGAATGAAAGGTTAGCCCAACCAGTTTGTTTGTTTGTTTGTTTAGAGAGGGAGGAGGGAGAGCAGAGGAAGAGGGAGAGAAAGAATCCTAAGCGGGCTCCACAGCCAGCTCGGAGCTGGACACTGGGCTTGATCTCACAGCCCTGAGATCATGACTGGAGCTGAAATCAAGAGTTGGATGCTTAACCGACTTCACCACCCAGATGCCCCAGCCCAACCAGCTTTGGTCCCAGCTCTAACAACATCATTCTGATTCAAACAAGCCCTAACAATCTGTGTGCCAAAGCTGCATGTTTCTGTAAAGTAGAATTAATATGACTTCTCTGTATACCAAATGAATGCCATAAGGAAACATAAAGTGAGTAGAATGAAAGTTTTGTGAAATACAAAATACCTGCAATCAGTTATTACTGAAGTGAAATGTTATTTTACTTCTCTGAAAGGTAAAACTTGCAATATTATTTTCAATTTTGAGGTCTGTGGTTGCAGTGTGGTTTGATGAGTATCTATTGAACATCTGAAGTAGGCAAGGCCTGTGTGTTATGGGAAATTGGAAGAGCTGAAAAAAAACGCAATAATGTGATTAGTAGAATAGAAAATAGACTTTTAGACAAATGGATAAAAAGGTGAGGTTATTTAGTTTTCAATTTTAGTTTTCAGGGGGGAAAAAAAGGCTGAGTTCAGGCCCAGTATATACACATTATCTTATTTTCAGAGAGGAACAATAGAGAGGCAATATTTCACTTAATATTTAGAGGACAAAAGGGAAAACCTTGCTGATTCCAAGAAATAATTTCTATGGAAACTTGCCTTCTCTTCTTGAAAAGTTTAAAGGGCCTTTCTAAAGTGGTTTAGGTAGTTCCGTCTATTAACAAGGAGACATGGAGGCTCCAAAGTTCATGATAAATTTGGGAACTATCATGATTTTCACTCCTAGTCCTTTGTAGTGTGAGTATAATTGTATCAGCTCATGATTTTAACTCATACTCCTGATCATATATCAGCCATAATGTAAAAATAAAATAAAATAAAATAAAATAACAGTGAAGGTGGCAATAGGTTCACTGAATGCTACTTTGGTAAGACCTACCTTTGAACTTCGAGGAAGACTAAAAAAAAACAAATGAGTTAGAGAAAGCAGCTAGGACCCAAGAAACACAGCTTCCTGTCATCATGAAGCTGGGTAAAAGAAAGGCATGGGGAAAGTGAGCATAATCTTTAAGCAATTCCAGTTACCTAAAAACAAGTTTTGAACTGATTTTTATATCCATGGAGGACAAAATCAGACATAACAGTTGGAATGGATAGGCAGGCAATTTTTTCTTAATAGAAAGATCATACAAGGTTGGAAGCTGATGATCTCTGCATTCCTAGAATTGAAGTATGGATAGCTGGGGAAGAAGAGCAGATTGCCTGCAGTGAATGAAATTGAACTTGTGGTTCTCAGTGGGAGGGTGTTTGTAAGTTTGCAGGAATGTTTTTAATAGTCACAGGGAAGGTTGCTAACTGGCCTTCTGTGGGCGGGAAGCAGAAGTGCTAGATGTCCTGAAATGATCAAGAAAGCTCCAAACGGAAAAACTGTCCCATGTCCCCCATCTCACATACCTTTATAATGTCACATCAGTATAGATACACTATAAATATAACTGCGAGTACTTTACAACATGATAATCTTGGAAATTTTTTTCAAGAAGTTAGGTAAAATAATTTAGAAGAAAGTTGTCATGAAGAAGAATTAGGGTGTAAGAGTTTTCTAAAGGCACATCACTGCCAGCAATGCTACTCAGGGTGTCTGAGCTGCTTATAAAACACCCTGGATCATGCTTTTCCTCTTTTTTATTTTTTTATTTTATTTTATTATATTTTATTACTTTTCTTCTTTTTTAAAAAAGATTTTATTTATTTATTTGAAAGAGAGAGAGGGAGTGAGAGTGCACATGTAGCGGGGAGGGACAGAGGAAGAAGGAGAGACTCTGAAGCAGACCCCATGCTGAGTGCAGAGCCCGACATGGGGCTTGATCTCATGACCCTGAGATCATGATCTGAGCCAAAACCACAAGTCGGCTCCTTAACCAACCGAGCCACCCAGGCGGCCCTACCCCTGAATCCATCTTTACTTACAGCTGCACATCTGAACATATGTAGTAATGGTGACAATTTGACACTTTTATGAATAGGCTTAGATACAGAGTCAAATTAGCAGACGTCTGAAGGAGGGATGTCAATAAGTTGCATTAAGTGTTTTGAAAATATTTGTATTGCTATTCTCTATACTTTTCATTTTCGAAGTATGAAGAGGAGACCTCTGCTGTGAAAATGACACATTGAAGTGCATTTGTTTCCAGCTTGCCCCTCGTACACTGAAACTACCCCACAACTGTTTGCCAATCTATTCTCTTTTGCTTGCTGCTGATTATGGACTATTATCTCTGGGGTCCCTTTATGTATCAGAAACGAAATGTATTCTTCGCTACATGGAAGACTGTTGAATGTAGAAGGTGCGTTTTGTGTTAAAGTGTCACTTCCTAGTTGTATTTCATAATATAAATAATTTTGACGCGACACTACACAATAATTTCTAGCTCATTTGCAAGAATATTATTACTTTCTTCATTTTCCATCATCCACAGCCCATTATTTTTCCTGGCATGTTCTCTTTTACTTTAATGAAGGTTATTTTCCTCTTTCTCTCATCATAGGCAAATATCTCTAGTCTCTTATCGTAACACTAGGTTTTATTCAAGGGTCCACCTGTACTTATGCTTGCTCAGTTATTTTATTCACTTTTTCATTTACTTTTATACTTGTATGGAAGGACCACTGATTCCTTTGCATCTTGTAAACTCAAACTTGTTCATTTTAATTATTTGTAGTCACAGGCAATTTCATTATGACTTACAGAAGAACTGTATCTGAACAAATACATAGGGGATCCATACAATTTTGTGATATATTTTTTTCTTTTATCTTGGTTTTAGATTAGAGTTAGGACATTATATCAACATAAAAAATCAATATGTGGGTTATTTTATGTATGAGTTTCAATTTGAGTTATTAAAGAGGGCATCACATTATGCTCCTATGAGAAGGAATGGTGTCTGATAGGGTTGAGAACACCATATTAGATAATCTCTAAAGCCTTGTCTCCTCTAAATTCCTGACTCCTTGGTTTCTCTAATCTCACTGAGGATGGTGAATCTTCCTGTCTCTCAGCAGAGTAAAAATTTCTTTTACAGAAACTCATAATAAGTTGAACTTAACTCTTTTAGTAGTATACATGTTTATTTTACACTTAAAAGAGAGTGAGCCATTTTTCCGTTATTTCACTGAATTGCAAAGACATGACAAATCAAGAGATGCAAACACCAGTTCTCTGGACATGACTATTGTCAACACACACACACACACACACACACACACACACGCATGTGCATTCTTCTTACCTAGCTTGACAAGTCGGAGCATGGAGGTATTACTTCCTCGTTCTGTGCAAGCGGTTACTGAGAGGTTGTAGATATCTCCTGGAGGCAGGCTGAGAATTGCAGTCATGACATTGCGTGTGACCTGCAAGATCCATCAAAATCGAGGGTTTAAATTTCTAATGAACTTGAATACCACTCCAAACAACGACAGGACTATAGCAGGCATTCCCTCTCTGTTCTGTGTAATCAATCTACAGTTGATCACAACCTTATGGATACTTTATTTCCTTTGAAAATGATATAAATTCCTCAGCTGAGCCAAATGCAAGGTAGCTCTAAAAATGCATAATACCTATCAGAATATTTTTTGCAATTAGTTTTCCTTTTTCTTTTAAGATTTTATTTATTTAATTGAAAGAGAGAGCACGAGAAGGGGGAGGGTCAGAGGGAGAAGCAGACTCCCTGCTGAGCAGGGAGTCTGATGCGGGACTCGATTCCAGGACTCCAGGATCATGACCTGAGCCTAAGGCAGTCGCTTAACCAACTGAGCCACCCAGGCAGCCTGTAATTAATTTTCTAGTTGGAATAGGTATTCCTCTGATATTTTTTCTCATCTTCACAGCAAATTTTAAAAAAGGCATTTGCTGGGTTGCTACTGATGTGTACATTACTCAGCCCTAGTTGGGAAGCTCAGAAGAAACCTAGTCATATCTATAGTCACCTTAATGAAAGATGAAATTTCCCAGTCCCCCCTATAGCTAGAGGGGACCATGTGACCCACCTCTGACCAATCGATTGTCAGTGGAAGTCACACGGGCAGCTTATAATTCTGTCCACACCCAGTAAGTGTTGGGCTCCCACATCTTCTCTTTTCCTCTCCCCACAGGCTGGAATATGGATCTAATGACTATGCACGTTCACCTATGCAGATGACGACTACACCGTGGTAGATGGAACAACGGGATGGAAAGAATCTGGACCCCTGGATGATTGATACCTTACAGCAGAGGTGCCCTGACAGTCCTGTGCTAGCACGAAAGAAACAAACTTTATTTTCTTTGAGCCACAATCTTCGAGTTTTGTTTTTTGTTGTTTTATTTTTCCAGTAATTTAGTCTGTACCTTAACTAATGTAATGTCAAAAAGTTTAATAAAGCAGAAGAAAAGAAATCAGTATTTCCAACATACTCAAATATTTAGGCATTGGTGATACATGGAGAAAATTTTAAAACATATTCACTGTGGTTTTCTTGAAAATGTTTGACATCCTGAAGGAAAAGCTCAAATCCTAACTTTAAATATAAATGAATTACTAGTTATAACTAGTACAACTCACTGTTAAAGAGTAAAAGGTAAACTCTCTGAAAAGAAGAATTAAAATTTTTCTTCACTGTCCTATCATCGGAGCCCAAAACAGTGCCAACGAGCGTAAGACATTTGTTTAATGTTTCAATAAATGTTTGCTTAATGGTTTTCAATAGTTTATGTAAATGAATGTTCAGATGCCCCATACTGGGATTCAAAGAAACATACACTCTTTTTAATTTTCTTCTTTCCTTCTGCAACAACCATCCAGTGTAGCATTCTAGAATGGGAGAGGTCAGTTTTGTCATCACCATATGTCCAACTGATATATAACAGACTGTTGAAATACTCCACAGATGTGATTTCCGGAGCAACTGGGGCTAAAGGAAAGAAAGAGGTGCACTTTAGTTTAAGAGACTAATAATAATTAAAGTACTTCTCAACAGAGCATGAAATCTCATGTGGAGTTAATTTAGAGAATTAAAGTTCACACCATATGATGGTCCTGGGGATCCCTGGACCTCTCAGGAGTATGGTGAAGGTTGGTGGTAAAAGGTGGACACTTGTTTCCTGGGGCCCCACTTTGCATGGCTCAGACACAAGGCAGCCAGACCCAACTGTACCTGAGGCTATCTGGTCTTTTATACAAATTTCACAGTTACAAGATTCCTGAAATGTTCACTTCTTTGAGTACACTTGTTGTATCAATAAATTAATAGTATAAGGCAACTTATTTTCCAAGCAGTACTGGAAAATTTGGGGTCCTACAAAAGTAATTTTTAATTGTGGTGTAGCAAAGATGTTTATGGAAATAAAGGACAGTAGGGTCAATGATTAGAGGGACAGAAAATAATTATTGTTTCTTTTTTTTTTAAAGATTTTATTTATTTATTTGACAGAGAGAGAGACAGCGAGAGAGGGAACACCAGCAGGGGGAGCGGGAGAGGGAGAAGCAGGCTTCCCGCGGAGCAGGGAGCCAGATGCGGGGCTCGATCCCAGGACCCTGGGATCATGACCTGAGCCGAAGGCAGACGCTTAACGACTGAGCCACCCAGGCACCCAATAATTATTGTTTCTATAAAATAATAAGGCAATATCATTGATCGTGCCTAACCAGCGCTTTGCAAAAAGTGGGCTCTAACTAAATGTTGCTGAAGCAAGTGGCAGGGGAAGGCAGGAAGGGCTGTTTGCTAAATTCTAACACCGAGTTTATTCATTTTTTAATTTTCTTACACATTTAAATTTAAATTATTTCTAGTGGGGAGAAGAGTTCTTTACAAGATTTATAATTTATGAGCTCTGAAAGCGTATTTTAATTATTTTTTAAACTAACTGATAATTCTGAAGATTTTTAGGAAACACATTCACAGTTGAATTTAAAGTCCATGTGTATGTTGGTTTGAAGACAAGCCGGTGTTCCATTCTGAGAGAGAGCACAAAACCAGCTGAAATATTTGGAGGAGAATTTCCATAAACCATGAAGGTTCATTTTCCTCAAGATGCTATTAGTACTCACAGCAAGCATTCATAACTATGCTTTCAAGAACAATTATTCACTGAAGAGATTTGTAATATAGAGAGTAAAAAACATTTCTGTTTCAGGGTGCCTGGGTGGCTCAGTCGGTTAAGTGTCTGTCTTAGGCTCAGGTTTTGATCCCGGGGTCCTGGGATCGAGCCCCGCATCAGGCTCCCTGCTCAGTGGGGAGCCTGCTTCTCCCTCTCCCTCTGCTCCTCCTTCCCACTCGTGCTCTCTCTCTCTCTCTCTCTCAAGTAAATAAATAAAATCTTAAAAAAATTCTGTTCCATGTGAAATTAGAGTAATATTTCTATATGTTTGACAATAAAATCTTGAAATACCAATAATGTATCTAGCAAGTAACACAAACCCACATCCTATTTCAGAATAGTCTAATAAAAAAAATAATACCTTTAGCTTCTTTTCTTTTAATATATTTCTATGTACTTCATTATATGTATGTATCTACACTTATATTTCTTCAAAGGATATTTTCTCATGTCCTAATTCTAGCAAGGGCAAGAAATGTATTTAAAATTGCGAGCCCAGAAGTGTATAGCTCCCTGCTCACAGGTATTAACAAAGTTTGTAGATTTTTATACTCTGTATTGTTGCTTTAAAGTGTAGCATATTGCTGAACGGCCACAAGATGTCACTATTTGTTTATTAAACATTATTTGGTACACTAGCATAATTACTATGCGTTTGACTTGCAGACAAAGTTGCCTAACAAAGACAGGGGACCTGAGATCCTAATAAATCACACCTTATTCAGATATTTTATTTATTTATTATCAGATATTTAATCACACCTTATTCAGATATAAAAGGATATACTTTTATATCACCCGATTTGGCATTTTGGCTCACAACTAAAACCATAAGTAAGAGAAGTATGCTATCCTTGTTTGCTTTAAACTTGAAATGAGGGAAGAAAAACAAAATGAGACAAGGTTAAAATTTCAACTGGTTTTTAAAAATAAGTATAAAAATAAAAGTCAGCCATCATATATATTTTAATAGTGATTTATATTACATAATTTCTCACACTACCTGTGAAATTCTATTATACCCATTTTATAGATGTAACAATTGAGACTGTCTGTGTTAATATGCTTTGATGAGACCATGAACTACCAATGTCAGCATGACTTAGGAGATTGTCCAAGGAAAAGATAAGAAATTCCCAGAGATTAATTTATTGGAGATAATAGACTGCTCACCGAGGCAAGTAGCTCACTTATTGACCTTATAACTATCCAGATTTGCTGGGTCCATCACCTTTACCAGATCCTGGTCAGTTCCCAACTTTGAAAGGCACAACCCCACCACTTGAGTCCAGAACTCCAAATCCTGTTAATTTTTCATTTCTGATGTCCCTCTTGAGAGACACTGCAAAGAGCCCATCGAGGCAGTTTTCTGCCTTATTGCAGTGAGTTCTAATATACTTGGTTTTGCTCTATTAGCCAGTTGTTAGGTAGCATTTTGAATTCTGCCAACGAGAAAAGAGAAGTCCAGGATCATTAAGATAATTTGCTCTGAGTTCGACAGCTAGAATTTTGCAGAGCCCAGTCTGCTCAAATCAAGTGTTCAGATGCAAAGTCTGGGCTTTTTCCAGACATCTGCTCTGTCTGAGAAGGAAAGAGTATTCTCAGAGAGGCAATGTCAATGAAGTTAGGCTGTATGAATTATTTATATGGTAAAATTTAATTAAATTTAAGTATGCAATTATTAATATAGTCAAGAAGCTAACACAGTACTTGTCACATAGTTGGTATTTTCTAAGTTTTTGGTGTTTTTTCACTTTTCCACTCTAGCATTACTGTTAACATCTGGCTAGTTAACATCTACTGTTAACATCTGACATTGGCTAGTAAAAGAAGGGGATGTTCTATGTACGTTGATAGTGTAAGAATTCACATGATTAATTTCTTTTTTTAAGACTTTATTTTTAAGTCATCTCTATGCCCACTGTGGGGCTTGAACTCACAACTCCAAGATCAAAAGTTGCATGCTCTACCAACTGAGCCAGCCAGGCGCCCTCACATGATTAGTTTCTTTCCATTTTCTTTCATTTTGGTAAGGTTTGAGGGAGTAAAACTAAATGTCCAGAGAAGAAAGTATTTTGCTAACATTATCTTTCACCTAGACATGTTTTTCTCATTTCTTCTCTCAGCATAACTCTGATTAGAGCCTGGTAGTCCAACCAAAAGTTCCTGAAAAATCTTAGTGCAAATAGGGTTCAAAAAGGATTAATGTTTCTTTGATGAATTTTCCCTTCCCGTTGTCATCTCTGACCACCTCTGGTATCTCTGTTATATGATAATGAGCTAACAGTTGTTTAAGTACTTAAACTTTGGGCCACATATTTCACTAAGTAATGTATTTTTTTTTTTTTAAAGAGGGAGGGCGTCAAGGGAGGGGCAGAGGGAGAGGGAGAGAGGGAATCCTAAGCAGGCTCCATGCCCAGAGTGGAGCTCAATGCAGGGCTTGATCTCACAACCCTGAGATCATGACCTGACCCCAAATCAAGAGTGGAATGCCTAACCGACTGAGCCACTCAGGTGTCCCCTAAGTGACGTATTTATTTATTTTTTTAATATTTTTTATTTTTTTATTTTTTCCCTAAGTGACGTATTTAAATGGAAAAGAATAATAGGTATCATTATCATATCCATTTTACACTTTAAAAAGCTGAGGCTTGGGAAAGTTAACATGCACAGTTTGCACAGGGTAAATGGCTGATCCGTGATTCAAACCCAGGTCCACCTGTCTCCAAAGCCTATTCTCACTCCCGCAACGGACAGCACTGCCATCAGCCTGTGACCTTAAAAATGGTTTAATTAATAAGGAGATGAAGGCACTCTAGCAAATATAATCATCAAATGGCTACAATCAATTCATCTCCATGTGAAGCTAAAAGCTCTATCTGCTACAAGTCTATTCCCATCAATTCCGAATGGGGCACATACAGGACAGTAACTCAGGATAAAAACATATTTTAATGTTTAAAGACTATCATTTAAACAAATAATGAATTTACAGAATCAAGCATACTGTCGTCCGCGGAACTGATGCTCGACCAATGCCGGGTGAATAACTCGAAATTTCTGGAGGTGCTTCTCTTCAGAAACTCCTCAAAATGGCCCTCTCTCCCCGCCGGAAGCAGTTCCCACACACCACTCACCTGTTATGAAGCTGATGGTGGAGCTGTCACAACAGCTCAATTCCGGGTCTCCCCATGTTACCATGGTAACTCGAAAGTTGTAGTACCATGCTGGCAACAGATTGGCTATCCTCTAAAAAGAGCAAGGAGACAAAAGACTAAGGGGAAAAAAATCATATTTTTGGAGTAGAGTTATTTTTATTAGGTCATGAAAATAGTCAATAAATAATCTTTATTTTTATTTCTGTGCCTTTTTGTATTTCCCAAATTTTCCATTTCCGGACTGAGGTAAAGTGTAAATACAATGATATGCAAACATAATTTTTTTAAAGATTTTATTTATTTATTTTTGAGAGAGACAGAGAGAGAGAGAGAGCGAGCACAAGCAGAGGGGAGGGGTAGAGGGAGAGGGAGAAGCAGACTCCTCGCTGAGCAGGGAGCCCGATGCGGGGCTCGATCCCAGGACCCCGGCATCATGATCTGAGCCCAGGGCAGACACTTAAACGACTGAGCCACCCAGGCGCCCTACAAACATAATTTTGAAGAAGTGATTCATAGGTATAGAGTCAAATATTTCCAATATTGGTTTCGTTTTGCAGTCTCCTAAGTTGTCTTACACATATGAAATAATACTTATTTGTAAATGACCGTACATATGCATCCCCTTATTTCTAAGAAAATTGACCTCTCACAACTCCGCGTTCTCCCAGTTTGGACTAGAAGCATGCATCCTTGTTGGGGGGCAAATATCAGTCTTCAGCTGGGTAGAGGGCAATTGTGTACTTCATGCATGACCTGTAGGAGCCTGCACTTTAGAAATTATTCCAGTCTCAGAAAGAGCAATCTTCACCTGCTCTCTTGAAAAGCATCTTCTAATGACCTGACATTAGAGGTATTTAAAGGATGTGTAGATGTTAAGAATAGTCATCATTAGCATTAAATAGTGTCAACTCATTATCGAATGACTAAAGGAAATTTTTTTGTGTGTTTTCCTCCTCGGGAGCAGAGAGAAACAATAAGCAGTTTATAGCTCTAGTAAAATGTGGATATGCTCAATTAGGGGTGAAAACTTGCTTCACATAATTATTTTTTTCTCTCTCTCTCTCAACCTCTCCCCAAAACAAAAATAGTCCAGAAAGTAAAAACAACTAGAAGAATTTTGAAAGCAGTAAGCCCTCTGTGTGTATTTACAGGTAACTTTTTCTGGTACATTCGGTAGGGAAAGGCACATCTGTTTACACAGGGACGTGTGACAGCTACTTACCACGGACGCAGTCAAGGAGACAGTCGCTGCGATTTCATAGTACGTTGTCCACTCTGATGTCATCGTTGCAGGGTTGAAATAAAACATTTCAACTACGTATTTTCTGAACACTCCTAAGTAAGGTCTGCTCCAACTCAGGACCACTGCCGTAGGACCCAAGGGATAGAGCATTAAATCCTTTATCCCTGTTGGAACTAAGAAGAAGTGGGGAGGGATAAAAAAAAAAAAAAGAGCCAAGAAAGAATGTTTAATATCTTAGCAATGGCTTCAAACTTCTTCTTAGGCTAGGGTTTTCGCTCTTCCGATACCATCATTGAATAAATCATATTCACCTCTGATGTTATTTTTCCTGAGCTGTAGATGCTAATGATATTCCCCTGGTATACAACGGTAGTCATTTATTACTCTGAGTGTAGAATATTGGGTGAACAAGTAGGGGCCCCCCCATATATGATGATAATGATTTGGACCTGGGCATTGGACACCCGCCCCTCCCCCAACAGTACTCTGATAAAGTTATTCTCGAGGCTGGCAACTTACCGATAGCAAATGTGACAGGATCTGAAGGGGGTCCAATCAAAGGGCCTTTTCTTAGGTACATCACGACCTGGTACTGGGCACCAGGAACCAGATTTTCAATAATAGATTTGCTTGAGTTCACCTTTAAACCAAACACCCGATATGATTTATTTAGAGCTGGGCTTTCATAATGTGACACAAAAGCTGATATCATATTCAGGGCTCTTTGTGGAGCCACAGATGCCTTTGAAATCCAAAAGCCTTTGCTCGTTCTGGGAAGGTCAGATTTCAGAATTAGGATGATTTATAGTTTATGTGAACACTGAAGGGAACCCAGAACATTCAAATTGTATGGCTGGATTTAATAAGCCCCGTGAACTGCTTTATACCCATCACTGTCAATTTTAACTATGCACACTAGAGACACATCAGCCCTTAACCATAATCAAATCAGCAATACCATAAGGGGAGTCTGACATCCTAAACCGTAGTGTCAGCTAAAAACATACAAAGATCAGTGCAGCAATGTCTTCAGTCTCTCGTCACTTAGAAGCATATAATATCTAATTATAGAGATGGAAATGACCTCAGAGATTATCTGCTCCAAATCTCTCATTTAATAGATCAAGAAAGTAAAGTCAGGAAATGGCCAAGGTCACATATTTAGATTCTGCGCCGGGGCTGGAAGCCTAGTGTTGTGACCTCTACAGCCTGCTACAGGCAAGGCATGGGACTAAGCATGGGGGGACAGCAGGAAGCGCTCCTCCGGGCTATTGTGACCCCATAAAATAATGTTATAGGAAATATTTCTCATTTAGATGAGCTCTTCTTTGCTGTTGTTTAAAAAAAAGGGGGGGCCTGGGTGGATCAGCTGGTTGGGTGTCTGCCTTCGGCTCGGGTGATGATCCCAGGGTCCAGGGATCGAGCCCTGCATCGGGGCCCCTGCTCAGCGGGGAGTCTGCTTCTCTGTCTCTCTCTTCTTCTGCTGCTCCCCCTGCTTGTGCTCTCTCTCTCTCTCTCTCTCTCTCTCTGTCAAATGAATAAATAAAATCTTAAAAAAAGAAAACTTTTGGTTCAGTAACAAATGTAATATAGAGAACAATAGAACAGATAGATGAATGAAATGTTCTTACTAAGGTTAAATGTTGGTGTGCACGAGGATTGATGCTTCAGCTTACGGGTCAAGAAGTGTGTGACTTTGACCTTTAGTGCCTCTATAGTTAAGACAGTCTTGCTTAGTAGAAAGAACACAGGCTCTCTATTCAGACTGCCTGGAATCAAATCCTGACTCTACTCCCTTGTAAGCATGGGAATTTATTTATAATTTACTTATAATTCTTCCCTTGGCTTCCTGATTGGTAAACTATAGATAATGCTATTCTATACGTCACAGAGTGGCAAGGACGCTTAACTAGAGTATCAATAAAGTTAACTCATTACTCAGCAATTCTTTGGCCTCTGGGGTACATAACATAAAATTGCTGTGGAAAGGAGCATAAATCAATGAAGAACAGTATTGTTGGCAGTTTACGTATGCTATAAGTTTTTTTTTTATTAAGCTTCATTATAATTTTAAGAATAAACACAGAATTGGTGATATGATATGAATTTTAAACCTTTTTGATACCAGAAACTGATTCTACACAATTAAATTTGTGTAATTTGAATTGGTAGAACTTGCTTTAAATGTAAGTGGGGGGACAGGCATACCATAATTTCTTTACCAATAACTTGAGCAAAATAAAATTAAGTTGAATGAATACATTAGCATTTCCCTCCTGTCTTTCCTATTTGCACTCATATCAGAATTTTTTGCCCCTGTTTTCGAAGGTGAATTCTGCTGGAAGCCATCTAGACAAAGTTGGCCAACTAGACATCCTCATCTGACGGAACATTTCCTGAAGAGACAGACTACGAACAAGACATGTATGTTGTGGAAAACTAAGTAACACTGTCTTACTGCTTTAAAATAAATTTTTAAATGATAAAACTAATAATGCTCACAGTAGAAGAGCAAATGACGTAAACTGGCAATTTTTCTGTCCTTCTCCCCTCATTCCAAACATTTTGGTGGGCAACCTTCCAGACCCTCCTGGATACGTATAGACATAAATAATAATAGACATAAATAATATGATATAGAACCATATAGGTGTTACATTATTAACATCGCTCCCAACTTCTCTTTAAAACTTAACAACACATCATAGACATCTAGGCATACCCGTGAATGCTAACTTAGCTCATTTAGAATACTTAATCACTCATTTAGAATACTTAATCACTCATTTAGAATACTTAATCACTCATTTAGAATACTTAGAATAGCAGGACAGAAAATGTGTAGACTGCTTTAGGGTGGTGTTAAAGTTTCTTTGGTTGGATAATATTTTAAGCAAGTAGTTGATTCTGATTATTCAAATGACTGTGTGAAATCAGAGCCACTTAAATATGCCATCATATTTAATACCCTGAGGGTATCATGCTAGTGAAATAAATCGGAGAAAGACAAATAGTGTATGATTTCACTATGTGGAAACTAAAAAGCAAAACAAATGGACAAACAAAACAGAATAAAACTTATAGGTAAGGAGAACAGAATGGTGGTTGCCAGAGAGGAGAGGTTTGGGGAGGTGGATGGTATGGGTGAAGGGGGTCAAGAGGTACAAACTTCCAGTTATAAAATAAACAGGTCATGGGGATGTCATGTATAGCTCGGTGACTATAGTCAGCAATATTGTGTTGCATATTTGGAAATTGCTAAGAGAGTAAATCTTAAAAGTTCTCATCACAAGAAAAAAGATTTTGTAACTTTGTATGGTGATGGATGGCAACTAGGCTTATTGTGATGATCATTTCACAATGTATACAATGATTGAATCATTATGTTGTTACCCCTGAAAGTATCCTCTACATCACTTACACCTCAATACAAAAAATAAGCCATCATAACAAATTCACCCTAGGGACATTATGCTCCTTTAAAAAAAGACTTTATTAATTTATTTGCGAGAGAGAGAGAGAGAGCGTGAGTGGGGCGAGGAGCAGAGGCAGCAGGACAAGCAGACTCTCCACTGAGAACAGAGCCATCACCTCTGACCTGGAGCTCAAGGTGGGTTTAAAGGTGGGGCTCTTCACAGGGCTCCATATGGGGCTCCACCCCAGGACCCCAAGATTAAGACCTGAACCAAAGTCAGACTGACGCTTAACTGACTGAGACACCCAGGCGCCCCTACTTTTTTTTTTTTTTTAATAAAGAAGCAACCGTGTGTATATACATCAGACTATTTTAAAAAACGACCTCGGTAATAAATAATAGATAATAAACACCAACTCCTTCCTGCCACATGGTTTTGGATATTTGCTGAGCCACCAGCTTGTATCTATGCTTCTATCCCCTCCATGCCCCTTGCATTTATCCTGGATCGCCTTGGGGTAAGTAGACTGTAGGCAGGCAGGAGAAAAGCCCCTGAATACTACTTACTAAATAATATGTATTTTATTCTCCAGAGGATCATCCCACATCCGCTCCCCCAATTTTCAACCCATTTTTGCATTCCACTATTTCCTCTCTCCCATTCCCAATGGGCTTCGTCTCCATTTGAGAGAATTCAGTTCAGCCCAATGCCCCTCTGATGAGGCGCCAGACCTGTTTCTCCCCAGCTAAAGAAATAGGAGGAAAGATGTCCTAGGGAGCGCAGGAAATACATGACAGACTGTTAAATCACAGGGTACATACATTGTTGGAAAACACTTAGGGACCAAGGCAGGTCACATGTAAAAATAAATATATATACATATATTATATGACTTTCTTAATCCTGAAATTTATGATTGTGTGTGTGTCTTTTTTTTTTAAGATTTTATTTATTTATTTATTTGACACAGAGAGAGAGAGAGAGCACAAGCAGGGAGAGCAGCAGAGGGAGAGGGAGAAGCAGGCTCCCCACTGAGCAGAGAGCCTGATGCGGGGCTCGATCCCAGGACCCTGGGATCATGACCTGAGCCAAAGGCAGACGCTTAATGACTGAGCCACCCAGGCACCCCTGTGTGTGAGTCTTTGGAGAAAGTACCGAAAGCACATTTGCACAATTTGAAGAATTGACCAGGTCCTTTATGTATAACACTGATGGAGCCCATACTTGATGTTCGACATGTATTTATTAACGAATAGCACTGAGGTGGTTGTTAGGAGGCATATATCACAAAACACCCTTTTCTACAAACATTTGCATGCCAACTCACACATGAAACAACAACCAGACATGAAGAGCATACACATGATGAGGACAAATTCAAATTAATGGGTACAATGTACCCACACGGAAAGCTAGACTCTAAGCGTTGTGAACTCAAGGTTCAAGTCAAATTTGTTTTATTTCTAAGATGTAGCACAGATATCAGTGGTGGTGTCAGAAAGAGTAGTGACACTAGCATTGGGTCTCATAGATGATCTAGGTGATACGTAAAACAAGGATCCTCTGGTATAGTCAGTGGTAGAAGCAAAGTAGGGACAGTGAAAGTATAAAATAGTGAAACATATTAACCATTAATACAATGGTCCCCGCTTATCTGCAAGGGATACGTTCTAAGACTCCCAGGGGATGCCTGAATCCATGAGTAGTACCGAATCCTATGTGGACTATGTTTTTTCCCTATACATACATACCTACTGTAAAATTTAATTTATAAATTAGACAGAGTAAGAGACTAATAATAACCAGTAATGAGAACAATTACAGCCCTATACTGTAATAAAAGTTATGTGAATGTGGCCTCTCTCAAAATACCTTATTGTACTACACTCACCCTTCTCGTGATGATGTCAGATGATAAAATACCTACGTGATGAGATGAAGTGAGGTGAATGACGTAGGCGCTGTGACCTATTGTTTGGCTATTACTGACCGGCTGCCGATATATTGGAGGCGGTCACCCGCTTCTTGCCCACGGGTGACGACGGGAAACTGAATCCGTGGAAAGCGAAACCATGAATGAGGGGGAGGGCACTACTGTATGTGCTTAGCTTTAGAATCACTCTTATTTTTGAGCTGCATCTTGAATATTAATTCAATCCAGTACCACCGAATACAGAATTAAAGAAATATTATTATTTTTTTCTTTTTGGATAATGGTTGCTTTGGGAAATAAGCCCAAATCAGACTGATACTGGTGATAATATCTTCTGGATTCTTTTGATTAATGGCCAGTTTTTGAGGCTTCTTTTTTTTTTTTTTTTAAGATCTATTTATTTATTTGAGGGTGGCGGGAAGAGAGAGAGGGATAGAGAGAATCCCAAGCTGACTCTGCACTGAGCGAGGAGCCTGATGAGGGGCTCCATCTCACAACCCTGAGATCATGATCTGAACCCAAACCATGAGTCAGAAACTTAACCGACTATGCCACCCAGGCACCTCTGCTTTTCAGACTTTTTAAACTGATGTTTCCTCATCTAAAAATTGTGTGCGTCTGTGTGTGTGTGTGTGTGTGTGCGTGCGTGTGCGTGCGCGTGTGCGTGCGTGTGCGTGCGCGCGTGTGTGAGTGTGTGTGTGTGTGTGTGTGTGTGTGGTGGGGTAATGGATAATGTTGGTATAATAACAAATCTTCAAAATGGTCTTGTAATTGAGATCACACCTCACACAGTAGTCTAGATCCTGCCCTCCCCTTTAAATATTGGCCTCTTTGTCTATAACCCTTAACAATTTCATGTTTGCATTGTCAAAGTGCACTGAGACCAGCCTTTTCTGGCTCATTTATAATTTATAATTTTTATCTGTACTGTTAGCCTTTGGCTTCTATGCAAAAGATACATAATTTTACATTAGATGAGGGGTGATGAAATGTGCCTTGGAGCAGTCAAGTTCTGTGTCATGTTCTGTAAGAGAAACACATTTTTCTACCAATGTAATGAGTCAGCTGTCTTTCCTGCGCTCAGGAAGGGAAACTTCTAAGCTGCACAGTGAGTCGTGATTACAGGTTAATCCGTTTAGCCTATATACTCCTTACTTTAAGTCAAGGGGTAGCCTCATCTGCAAGTAAGGGCTTATCTCAACACTCTTAAGCCTTTCTAGCGCTCCAAAGGCCATGATTCCTGAATTCCTCTTATCAACTTTAAAGTTTCTCACTCTTTTTTTTTTTTTTTTTTAAAGACAGAGAGAGAAAGAGAGAGAGAGAGGCAGGCAGAGGGAGAAGCAGGCTCCCAAGGAGCAGGGAGCCCGACGCGGGACTCGATCCCAGGACCCCGGGATCATGACCTGAGCCGAAGGCAGACGCTTAACCATCTGAGCCACCCAGGCGCCCTAAAGTTTCTCACTCTTTGAACTTCCCTAAATGCCTAGTTTTTGTGGGAGAAATGGAAACATTCCAAAAAGCTTTCATATAGTAAACATTGTTTTTGAGTATTATATTTCCAGTGTATGACACACGAGTTGATAATTTAATTTTTTTTGCCTTTAGGGAAGGAAATTTGTGTTTGCAAGACACCAGGAATCAGTACATTTGATCCTATGAAAAAATAAAACCAGGTTTTAGGAAAATAGTGCTGGGCTCCAGGCTCCCTTGTGGATACTCAGGGTGATGGAAAGCATGGTTTGCCCTGGGGCCCATGTGGCAGGCGTTCACTCAGGACTGATGGCTGGGCGCATGAGCTCGTTCTGGTAGCCATTCCCAGAACTACTGATTTGCACCCCATTTCCGAGTGCCCCTTTATGCCCCCTTGGCATAAAGTGAACGGGGAGTTTTTTACTTTAGTACTTTTAATTTTTAATTATTTTTTCAGTGAGCATGAATTATTTTTATAGTTCAAGCAACAAAAAAAGAATAGAAAAAGTAAAACAAACAAACAAACAAACAAACAAACACAAATTCCCCAGAACCTTCTGCTTGCTCATCTCCTTCCCTGGAAAAAGTTTTTCTGGCCAGTTTCCAAATCCTCTTGCCCCAGTCCATATTTATTCGTGCTCAGCTCTTTATTTCCATGAACTCTTAGGGCCTCTCCATCATTTACTTTTAGCCTTGGCCTGATTTTATACTCTGCGGTAATTATATGCTCACTTATACGTTGTTCTCCCTAGATTATAAACTCTGCAAGAGGCAGATACATAGCAATTATCTAGAATCCCAACATCTGTCCTATCTGAATTCCTGGCACATCGTAGGGGTCTTGAATGAGGTGTGAAAATAAAAGGAAGATGCTAGTGCCCAGAGGGGGAGGGAGGAAGAGTGTAACTGAAGAACCAGGCACACTCATTTCCTGCTCACACCACGCCCCGACCCGGGGGAAGACCCCCGCGTAGCCTCTTGCAATGGCCTCCTGTAGGCCTGTTCCTTTACCTGAGTGCAGTACTGCTTTTCTAGCCTCTGGCTCTCCTTCTGTTTCTGGCAGGTGAGCGACACCACAGACACGATGGTGCCGTTGTAGTTCTCCTGGGACGATGTCCAGGACATCAACGCGGTGGTTGAGCTTAGAACGTGGACACTCACATGCTGGGGCTTCTCAGTCAGTTCTTCCATCCACTCTCCTGAAGGGCCTAAACATGTCAAATAAGAGCACAAGGGAGGTTTCATGCTGAGCTGGTGGAGATAAAAGAGTCAAGTTTTCAAAATCATGATGTTTTCCTTTCGCCCTTACACAGAGAGTCAAGGTTAAGACGGGCAGGTGAACCAGCACGGCTCTCTGCCCCCTGCCTCTGAGTTTATTCCAGTAGATTCTTCACCAGAGAGAATCTACTTCTCTTTTAACGCAGAGCAGGTGTGGAAGTGGGGACATTTCAGCAGTGTTTAGAATTCCTTTGCTGTTAGGATCTCTGGTCTCTAGAAATAATGACTTGGAGATTCAAATTAGCCTCGACTGCCATCATACGAAAATATTTTAAATTTGGTAGCAGCAGGATCAAAGAGGCGGAGTGCGACTATATTGAGAGAAGAAATAGGCAACAGGCTGGCTCAATTACAGAAGCTGCCTGAGATCTGGGTGATAATTTGAGGGACGCGGTGGGTTCCTCATTATAAAGTATCTCGTCAGAAGTGCCCACCATTTGCTTTGTTCTCTTAAGTTTCTGAAGTGGTTATTAGCACTGTGCCTGACACATAGTAAGGACTCAAGAAGTGTTGAGGTGGTTATTATCTACAGAAATTCCTTGTTGAAACGCACATGTGCAACGTTCCTTTATTTGCTTAGGATACACTTCTCAGCTTCTTCATACGGAGCTGTATTCCTGGGCTGGAACCCAGGAGGGGGAAAGAAGCAAGCGGATCTCCTGGGGAGAGCAGTCTCAGGCTCACAGCCAATGGGGCCAGGGAGATAATGACAATAAAAAATGACAATAATCATGATGGCAAAGAAAGCATTCGGCAGGTTGGCAGGTTGTAGGTTCTGCTTTAGGCTTGTATATGTTTACATATGTTAATCGTTTAATTTTCATAACAGACCTATGAGATAAGTACAAGTATTAATCCCACTTTCAGATGAGGGTGCTGAGGCAGAGACAGGGTAAGTAGATTCACCCACAGGAAGGCTGGTTCCAGAATCCACGCTCTTAAGCCCTGTAGGAAACCTCTGGGGGCTCTAGGAACCGTGAAAAGCACTGGTTTGGAGAGAGAAGAGTTGACCAAAACTCGGCTTTGCTCATTATGAGTGACACAACCTTGGGCGAACGGTTTAACTTCTCTGAATCTCTGGCAATGCACTGGCCAAATGGATTAAACCATAGAATGTTAGAATTGAAAACTTGAGAGATCCAATACCTCATTTAACTGATGAGAAAACTCAGGCCCAGAGATGTGTGTGACCTGTCCAATGTCACACAGCTAGTCAGTGCGTGGGGCCCAACCCAGACCCCTGGCCTCCTGGCTCAGTGCTTTGTGACCATTTATCATGATGCCATCTGTCACTGGGATCAAATGAGATCATAGGTGTTAGAGAACTCTGTAATTGTGAAGTGTTTTCATCGCCGTTAGGAAGATTACTGAGGTAGCAGGGGCACAGAGAGCCGAAGTGAGAGGAAGTAAAACAAATTCACTCATTCAAAAGTTTTACATTAGGACTGACCTGATGATCAAGCCAAGGTACTGGGTCACTGCGGGCTACGTGGAAATGGACTTTGCTGTCAAATATTCCTAGGTTCTAGTCCTCATTCAGACACTTGGGAAAATTACTAAACTTTCTATGCCTCCGTTTTTTTTTTTCCACCTGAAACATGGGGATCACTGAAATGTGAGGCTGTTGGGGGATGAATGTAAATGTCTACCTTTCCTCTCATCTCTGAGGAAAGCCTTCAAAACCACAGAAATAAAAATCATAATGCAACACAAGAACTATAAATCTTAATGGAATTTAATAAATATTAATGTCCTAGCTTAACACCGGAACAGTTTGGTCAGGAAAACGAGCTGTGAATATCGTTTAGCTGGTATGAGTCTGTACTATGTTGAGGGGGCTTACTCAGTTCCAATATAGTATTTATATCTATAGTTTTCTGTTTTAAACTAAAGGCGTATATACAGTACACCTGAATAACTCATTACTGCAGAGCGGAATATCCTAAGCACTAAAAATAGTATTCTTTTATTGGCAGAGAAAAAACCAGAATTTTTAGTACCCTATATTTTCTAGATGAATATTAAGATGCATCTCTTTGAAATAATCATATTTTTGAGCAATTCTGACACATTCTCAACAGCGCTAGTCAATTTGGATACTCTAGAACGGAGCGCCGGACACATGAAAGTTGTTCAGTGAATATTTGTCGAATGTACAACAGAATTAATAAATAAGTAGTGTAACCCCAGGCTAGGATTTTATAATTTGGTATGAGAAGTAAGATGTACACAAATAAAACAAATCTAGAAAAATATTATACACAAATAAGCTCTGTATTTTGTGTTGTGCACTATGAAACACAGGAGAAATTCAGAGAAGGGAAGGACCAGTTTGGCCAGAACAGCTGAGGGAGATTTTCCAGAAGCTGTTGACACTTGGGGTGCATCTCTACTGACAGACAGGGAAACATTCTAGTTAATGAACATTTTAAGCTTCACGGAAGAACTGAATACTAAACTTCATTCTCAAGTGACCTCATATCAGAGATCTTCCATAACTGAAAACCAGGCAAGCAAAATTATGACTATTCTTTCTGTATATCTCATGGATCTTTAGGCCTTTTATCAGCGGCGACATTTTTGATTTCTTAAGTAGAAATGCTAGACGGGGCATTTTCAACATTTTTCAGCTGTTAAATAAATGGATCTCTTCCCTCTGTCCCCCTTCTCATTCTCCCATCCACCTTTTTGAGGATTATTTGGGGAAAGGAGGTATTTTGCCTTTGGAGAAGGTGATAAAGTGTGTGCTGGTCATCTTTTTTGAAGAGCCATTTTTATCCATTGCCTTCTGGTTTTTTCTTTCTGCTGATGGGAGGCACATGTAACTGCTGATAAACCAGGTAACTGATTTTTGGCCTTGAAACCTCCGGCGAGCACATTCAGATTAGCTAAAAACATTACAGACATGCACCATTCGTGCAGCTTCTAGAGGTTAATTATTTGCTCCGTCATTACTCCTCATGGAATCAGTAGAAACCACCAGAAGACTTGACACTGGGGCTTTTAGAATGCTCTAGCTTTGTCTTCTTGGGCCAAATTTATGGTGGCCACCTAGGCCCTACGCCACTTAAATCTCTGGTTTTCTTTTGAGCTCTCTCAGCTCAATATTCTAATGAGACTTCTCCCCACCGGTCCAACAATACCAATTTTCTGTATGGCCTCAAACAAAAGTCATATGTCCTAAACCGTGTGTCCGTGTCCTTGGAGGGCTTGTTATGGCTAGTGTGGAAGGTCAGCTTAATAAATGTTCAATTATCCCAATAATAAAAAAATCCATAAGCTAAATCTCTGGGTAGGTTTGCTACTATTAAACATACATATATTTCCTCTGCTGTCAAAATCTCATGGAACCGAGCCTCTTCTGACCTTGACGATTTCTCAGGGTCTCTGAGGTTTGATGAATAATTGATGCCTGAGCATCATTAATCTCCCCAGTTCCATTGTCCTAGCTCCCCTGTGAGTGCAAAATAATCTCTTTGGTACTTACTGATATAAAAACTGAGTGATTTTGCTGACTGACTTTTTCGAGTTTCACAAGATCCTGAGGAACTAAAGGTTGTCACAGATAACTTATATTTCCCAGGCTCCTTCAATTCTGCAACAAATTCATGTGCTTCTTCATCCACTGTCAAATATTCAGTAAAGTTTTCTGAGTCATATATAAAAAAGAGAATATATATGAATTGAAACCTGGAAGGGCCTTGAATGTAGACAAGTCAATTAATACAAAAAATAAGTATTTTTTATACGTTTCCTTTCTTTTGTCAAGTTCAATTATACATCTTCATCAAAGGTACTAGAAAAGAAACATGACCAAGTACTCAAATTGCTTTTCACGACACTTCTAAATTACCAAACTAAAATATGGGATCCAAATCAATAAAGCTTAGGGATGAGTTTATACTGCATATTCTTATGTACTATTAACCAACAACATCATGTGCACAGAACAGAAGTAGAATGTCAGGATAAGATTGCAACAGTTGACTTTCTTATATGGATATAAAGATTAAAAAAATAACCAGCAATCAGTATCTTATCAGTTCTTTGTGGTAGTATTAAATACCCAGAAATGCCTTAAAATAAATTGAATTATTTCTAGTTGGAAATAATTATCCTGGGCAGATTTTCTGACACTTGTAATACTTGTCCTTGATCTGTCTTCCAGATTTTACTTTCTAAAAGTAAAAATGATTTTTGCATTGCTTCAAAGATCATCTCCTGCTGCTTATCACTCTATTTGAAGTTGTTCTCATCAGTTGGTGACCACCATAGCCTTCAACAGAACACACAGCAGTCAGATGAAAGCATGATTGAACGTTCATGGAAATACTCATTAAAAAAAAAAATTGCTGTGAGATACAAGACCTTATTTTCCCCAGAATATACTGTGGGACAGGAAAATAAAAGACAAATTAAGGGCAGATGAAGACAGATATCTTTTATACAAGTAATTCTAGGTAAACGTGAAGACTCTTGACTCAAATAATTAGAAATGACAAAGGATTTCAATTTTACACAACATTTGGGGATGGTCGATTGTTCTATAATCCAGGATAGAGGAATCCACAGAGTTTGGTGTCTTATTCTATAAAATAAAATAAGGGCAAACAACAGTATGCACTATACGATACTACATGATATTAATGCCCTACTCTGAAAATAAAGCTATTATTTGAATTTCAAATTTTGACAACTTGACAACTTTTGCCACTCAAACCACTAGACTGGAAAGTATAAAATGAAGTGTGTTATTATGGAAACAAAACAAACAGCAAATAACTATAATAACCTACCAAACAATAATTTAAATATGGTCATGACCCACATTGACTGCTGGCCAGGGCCCTGTTTTTCATAAGCTAGTGGGCTAAAATACGAAGAAAGCTCTGGAATGCTGGATCAATGACTATGATCCATGCTATGGCGAAAATACTAGTTGCTGTGCATTTTCTATTTTACGACCAGCTCTTCTTTGGGCAAATGTGGAGTGGTGCTGGTCCCTGAGGGACACACCCTGAGGCAAATCAGAGTCGCTAGATGAGCAGGACCCAGGGCTGACGCTCTTGGGAAGGTAGCCTTCTTGTCAGAAAGATTGTTTTGCTACATGCTTCCCAAACTGTGTACTAGAAAACAGAAAATTTCTCCAGGATATTTTGTAATTTGCAATGGCTAGAACTTTAATTCAAAATCTTTCCAAATGGAAGGTTTCCTCAGCAGCCTGGAGTACGTGACATGTTGGGCAGTGAAATGTGCGCAAGTTGTGAATACTCGCAATTTAGAAACTACCTAAACCTTGGATTCTGATCCTACCTATTTAATTTTGTTTTCTAGTCTTAGTGGGTGTTACTACTCAATTAAATTCTTCCCTTTCTTGACCATTTTTTCTTCAAATATTAACTGTCTCCCATCAGTCATTTTTTCTAAATATTTTAGTTGTCACATATGTCAATGCCCTTTCCTTTGTGCACCATTTCTTATTTTCGCTGATTTCCTATTACTTTACCTTCTCTTTCTATGTGGATATGGAACCCATCGAAGGCAGTGGGTGGTTTTGGTGGTAACCAATTCAGGATCATTTGTACAGGAAAAAATGAGAGAGAGCCTGCTGTTGATTTCTCAGTCTCACTGAGTGTACTGTTACTTTCATATTCCATGGGAAGGACACTGACAAAGTCATCTTCACTTTCAGGGGTTGCAGATGCGCCGCCCCACCAATAGGGCTGGGATGTAGTTTCGTAGTCACTGCTGTTGAAATCGGGCCAACCAGAAGAAATATTGCCAGAGGGGATTTCAGGGGTTTCATCCGTAAAATGGAAGAGTTTGTCTTTTCCCACTGTATCTTGTGATCTCACGAACGATTCCTCTGGAAAACTGCCACTCTGTTCTTCCCAATTGTTTTTGTTCAAGTTTACAATACGAACCGAGATATTTCTAGGTGGATACGGGGCTGTAAGAGAGAGAATTTTCATTTTCCAGTAATTTTTAATTCTATTATAGTGAATACTTAATCTATTAGTAAGTCAAATACACAAGTGGATTTACAAAATAGAGGTTAATTTTATTTCTACTAAAAGATAGTAGAAGATAATCTACATCAAGAACTATTGTGGTGTTAAGTTACACATTTACCTAAGATTTTGTGCACGATGTGTATACATGAGTATATCACCACTCATACCTCAAATACATTAACTAGTGATATGATGCTTGTCCAAGTGGTAATTTAACCATGTCCAAAGCAAAGTTTTGTAAATATTCTGTAGCTTATCAAAATCTCCTTTTAAAAAACCTGAGTCTCTGCCACTGGATCTTTCTTACAAAAAAAGCAACTCTAGTGTACTCTAGCTATCAAGATAAAAATACTCCCTGTGATGTAGTTGCACTTAAGAGAGTTGCATATATGCCTTTGAAACATTAACACATACGTTAGAAATACTGCTTCACTCCTCACTTCTCCAGAATGAAACATATGAGCACAAAATCCATGTGTGAATTAGGGAAGCATACATTTTGAGAGGAAGAAAATTATGAAGGCATGCTGTCTGGTCTCTACCTGCAACTGTTTCTACCTATCCTTCAAATAGCAGCTGAAATATCATCCCTTCCATGAACTTCGAATAAAAATTAATCTTTCCCTCCTTTGTGTAGTTACATAACTTTGTACCTCTTGGGACATGTATCAGTTCTGCCTTGTATAATTGACATTTGTGTTGTATCTCTACCATTTTTGAGGACAGGAAACTTATCTCACCAGACTTTGTCTTCATCTCTCTCATACTTAGCACAACTTCCCAGTAGAAGTCACTCAATTGATAACATTTCCTTACTTGAATTGAATAATGAAAAATACAAATAGAATCTTAGATGTTGCCGTGACGTGACTAACTTATTCAGCTGAAATAGTTTCTTTGTCTTGTCCTACTTAATGAAAATCATGGCATCTTAGATTCAGACTGGCAGGGTCTCAGGGGTGATCTATAACAATCCATTCCCAATGTTCATATGAAAGGTATCTCCAACATTCCTAATGAGTAATTTGGACACATTAGGCACAGGCAATGTCAATTACATTGGTATTGGTGACAGGCATTTGGTAGGTGTACATTTCCATCCATTCTTCCATCCATCCATCCATCCATCCTACAACAGTGCTTCCTATTGGTGATGCTACCAAAATTAAACACTGCAAGTTTTAGACATATCTGAATCCCAATATTTTCCTCTAATAATCTGATATTCTTTACTGAACATCTCCTATCATTTTTATTGCCATGTGGGAATTTTGCCAGGTTATAGAATAACTGATGTCTACTTGGTCAAGTTAAGTTACTTAATTATAACTTTTGGTAGTATCATGTACTTTTTTTCCATTCAAAGATTATAAATCTATGATTATATTGACATATTTTAGATTTTTCTTTTGAATATTTTATTCAGTTCTTTTACATTGATAGAGGATTTGTTTTAGACTATTACAAATATATATTTATTTTATTTCTTAGCTCTAGAGCATAATTTTTCTCAGAATGATAGAATATATACATGCAACAAACATATAATTTAATTATTTTTTAACTAAATTTGATTCTTCAGAAGACTTACCAGTTCTATGTTGTTTAGGTTCATGACTGACACCACTATACTCCACAAGAGTACTTTTATTAAAAGTTGCCTCAGATACCAGCTGAAAAGTGATGTTACTATAACATATTCCTGGCAGCCAGTGATTAAATACTGTTTTTCCCTTAAAGAAATCTGAGAATAAAAACAATTATATTAAAATTTTGATCTCTTAAATGCTACATACTTCTAGAAAGTTCTAAACAATTAAGATTAAATAGTCCTAAGGTATTATTTCCTGCAACTTCTGGCATGGTCAGTAATACAAAATTGGCATAAGATTAGAGATGAAAATTTGGATATTTAAATCCAAAATCCTGAAAAGTTTTTTTCTGCAGGAATTGAATATGATGAAATTAAATTTTTATTATAGGATCATTTTGTGTATTAAATGGAGAAGATAACATATAGAAATTGTAGATTCGGTTTATGCTAGCCATTTATTTTATGATAAAAATCAAAGATATTTTGCCACCTGTGACTTAGGAAAAAGTAATTTTATAAAACATGTTTTCACTAGGCTTACTTGTAAAAACTGGCCTTCTTAAAAGTAGAATGGTTTATCTGCCAGTTGGCAGCACCTGATTAAAAAAAAAAGAAAGAAAGAAAGAAGGAAAGAAGAATTTGTATTTAATTTGAAAAACATTAAAGAAAATAATAAAATTAAGATTCCAATTGAAATTAGAAGGAAATGTGGGAAAGAAACCAAAAGTACCACTTACTGAACTAAAAGCCAAAAATAAATTTAAAAATTAATTAACTTAAAAAGGAGAGCATATTTATTGATTTATTTTAAAACTCCTGGCTTTTAGTTCCACAAAAATTCCAGAGAATGCTTTTAAATTATTCATGAACTTGTATTTGCATGTGATCAAAAAGCAAATAAGTCCCCATTTATTAGTTTACAGATAATCTGTTTTCACTGAAATTTTAAAAATACAATAATCTGTGGAGTCTATGTTTATATTTATTTGATGTTTTAAAGCTTCAAAAACTAAAAATTCACTGCACTGTTTTAAACCATGTCTCATAAAAAAGAAATCGATGGAAGAAATGAGTTTATAAAAGCAGCAAGTCAAAATGACACTTTTCTGGATATCATGACCTGTGTGCCTCAGTATCCATTCTTCACCTCACCAGTACCTATTTCTAGTTACAACCAGTCAACTTTGATAACCGTCATCTAAGCCCTCAGAGAGTAATGTTACAGTTTTGTATCCTGAGAGTATCTAAGTTCCTTTCCTTCCAAATTCACTCGCAGTGGAGCTGAATACCCTCCCTCCGTTCCTCCCTCTCCACCTTCTCCCCAAGAGTCTACTCAGAGAAGGTGACCAGGTTCTTTGAAATGATTGATTCCCATAGGATCTCTTTTTCTCCTCTTCCCACAGGGTCCCCATCAGGCCAGTATAAACAATGAAACCAATTTTTGTATATTAATACAATCATTTAGCTGGTCATACAGATAAATATATCCAAAGGAACAAAAAAGCATTATCCTTCACCTTTGAGAATAATCTTGGACCACCTCCAAGCAAAACTTGGTAAGAAGGTGCCTTTTGAACTTCTTAGTTCTAGAAATGCCCTTCTATCATACCCAGAAGGAAATGGTTAGGTGAGGTGCTTCTAAGTTTAAGTTTGAATTTATTTCTTGTACCAGACATGCTGCCTTTGGCAAGACTAACATACAAGTGATAATAATTTGAGTATTTCTTATGCTTTTGCATTGCATGTGACTCTAGCAAACCAGATGTTCTAAGATTCCTCATGACAAGATTTTTATAAATTAATAACTATTTTTAATGGTTCTTCCATTGTCAGATAGAGAATCATAAGGCCTCTTTAGAGCAAGACAGAAGTCCAGTTAGCAAACATCACGTAAAAAGGAGTATTTTAAAGATGATATTTATCACCCTTCCTTTTGCTTCTTACCTTTATATAGCATTGTTCGGAAGTCTTTACCTTCCCAGTAGCTTATGTTTACTCTCGTGAAAACATTATATTTTTCTGGATAATGAATTTCAAATAGGACTCCTGTTTCAGGAGAAGGTTTATAGTCATATATTGAAACACTGGTTACAGGTAGGGGTTCTGCAGAAGGGAAGTAAATGGACAAAGGGGAAGTGGAAAAAAGGTAGAAAGGCCATTATCAGTAGTTGGAAGTACCAAAAATTAATGCCTGTCAGAACACTTTCCACATTTTTATTATCCATAAGCATTAAACTCCCCCATACTCATGAGTTGACTGTTCTCCAGAGCAGTAATTGACAAAAGTACATTTATGTGGTGTTTTGTGCCTTTCAAAGAAACTTTCATATTCATTTTTCCATTTGCCTTTTGCAACGACCCTGAGGTCTAGGACAAGCAAATATGAATATTGCCATTCAACAGATAAAAATAATGATGATGACTCAGAGACTTTAAATTATTTGTCAAGACCTCAGGAAACAAACTGAGGGTTGCTGGAGTGGTGGGGGGTGGGAGGGATGGGGTGGCTGGGTGATAGACATTGGGGAGGGTATGTGCTATGGTGAGCACTGTGAATTGTACAAGACTGATGAATTACGGATCTGTACTTCTGAAACAAATAATGCAATATATGTTAAGAAAAAAAAAGAAGAAGAAGATAGCAGGAGGGGAAGAATGAAGGGGAGTAAGTCAGAGGGGGAGACGAACCATGAGAGACGATGGACTCTGAAAAACACACTGAGGGTTCTAGAGGGGAGGGGGGTGGGGGGATGGGTTAGCCTGGTGATGGGTATTAAAGAGGGCACGTTCTGTGTGGAGCCCTGGGTATGATGTACAAACAATGAATCATGGAACACTACATCCAAAACTAATGATGTAATATATGGTGATTAACATAACAATAAAAACTTATTAAAAAAATTATTTGTCAAGAGTAATTTGACAAGTACATGGCAGAGTCTGTATCTCCAAATTCCTAGTTCATTTTTCTTTTTTCCAAGCCAAGAAAACTTGATATTAATGACAGACCCGTAACAGAAAATACATTTTGGCTCTGACCAAGGATAAATGTTTATGTGATCATTTATTTCTTGTATAAACTTAGTAGTTATTTTTCTATATTAAGTATAAGATTGTAAACCACCCTATGTTGTGAGAATTATAGTTTACAGTGTTTATCAAACCACTCTTCCTGCAGAAGCTTAAAAAAATGTTTATTTCTATTTTGCTTGAGTCGTTAACTCATTACAAAACTTTTTAAATACTCATTTTTTTAAAACTACAATTTGATGCACATCTGTATCTCCTCCATATCCTATTCTTCAGCAAAATTCTTGTAAAAATGACTGAGCTCCCTCACTCTTCTGAAGGAGCTGTTGCATTAGTTTTACTTGCCTTCGTTTGATTTGAGAAAATCGTTTAAATAATTTGGTTTGGAGTCAACTATTGTATTACAGACAAAAACAATTTTGATTCAAAGTTTTATCATTAGAGAATTCTCAGACATCATCTACAGCCTAAATGAAATCAATATCCTTACTTTAAATTTTACACTTTTAAAAATTTCAGTTTCAATACCCTAGGACACCAAAATTTGATTTAATTTATTCCACAAGTATCAGGTACCTACTTTGTCTTAATCTGTAGGTAAATATTTTTCATTTTGCCCTCCAGGATCGTGACCTAGTTTAGCTTTTGCTTTTGACTGAAGAGATCCGGGAAGGATTGAAGCAACATGTTAAAGCTTTGATTTTTCCTCGAATTTTCTTAAGAGCCAAGCCAACATCTAGTGAAAAAATCAGGAAGGACCTTCAGATTACAGCATATATTGTGATCATGTCGGGGTAGACTACATGCTGTTTTCTCTGGCTAAAATGTTTCTCTTTTATCTTTCACTTGTCCTTGGTCTTCTTGCTTAAAGGTAACATTTACAAAGTGAACATGCTTGTGCTACCTAAACCAACCAACCAACCAACCTGGCAAGACTCTTGTGTATTTCTCTTTGATTAATGCCCCCAAAATTTTGAACTATTTGAAGGTCTTTCTTTCAACCCAGTCTAATTACTAACCCACGGAGTCTACCAAATCCACCTACTGCTTCTGGATCTAAGGGAAGCAAAATGAAAGCTAACAACAAAAAGCAGCCACAGAGCAGGGACTCTTCCCTTCCTGCTGTCCAGTATCTCATCCTCACCAGGGTCCTGTCTCCTGAAAAGAGAAGTGAGAGGTCCACCCAATCTTTCCTGCCCTGAGGCATGACATGTGCACATCAAAGCCACAGTCCCACTTTGAAATTCAAGAGATAGATGAGGATTACAGCATAGATATTTTATGTTGTGATTTTTTTTTTTTTTTTTTTTGGCTGCTGAAAGCTACTTACATTTAAACTAAGAATTTTTTAAATGCCTACTTGCCTGTTGGCTTCCTACAGTTCTCTTGGCTTCAACCTAAGTGACCTGGGTCAGCTGTAAATTCTAAAGTCTAAGCCCGGCCATTACTGAGGCACATTCAGTCTATTTTCAATAGAACTCAAATGCATTCTCTAAAAATATTTTACTGTGTCTCCAGTGACTTCCCTTCCCTTTTTAGAAATTAAGGGATGGGTTTTAAACCAGAGCTGCTCTTATTCAAGTGTTTTTCAGTGATGACTTAACCGACTGAAAAACCATTTCAATGGTTAAATCTTGATCTAATTCAGTATTCCCTTCGCAAGCCACACTTCGCTCTTTGGAACCAGGCAGGACAGGACAGAAACCCAGAGCTGTTAGAAAATGTGAATCACTTATTACTTTTGTTCGTTTGTTCCTTTTTTTGTCCTCAGGTCTTTTTATTTTTCAAAAAGCTAAACATTATAAAATATACTTGAAACTCCCTCATATAACTCACTCCCATTTGCCTGCCACCGCGGCCAGAGATAAATTAGTACTCTGAATTTGGTGGTTACCTTTTGATGTGTTTTTTACTTTTATATTTATATGTGTCCAACATCCATACGAAATGTTATTTTGCATGTTTTAAAATATGTTGATGGTATCATAGTACATGAATTTTTTTGCAGCTTACTTTATCAACGATCAGGCTTTTGAGATTTCTCCACCTTGATGCAAGTATCTCTAGAAACTTTGTTTTAGTGTTCACTTTGGAATTATACAGACTCTGCCGTTTGTTATTCTGTTAGATTGTTTTCAATCATCTACTTTTGCAAATAATGTTGCAATAAATGTCTTGAGACATGTTTCTAGACTATCTAAATCCTGGATGGCAGGGTATGCACATCTTCCATTGTAGGAGATATTGTAAAAACGTGTTCTAACTCTCTGTCAATTTCCATTTCCATCAGCAGTGTGTGATAGTTCCTCCTTCTCCATATTCTTATTCAACACTTGTTCATATAAATCTTTTTAGTTTTTGCCACTCTGAGACATATGAAATTTTGTCTCTGTTTTCATTTCCTGTTCACAAAAGAGGTTATCTTTTCTTATGTTTATTGGCCATTCAGCTTTTCTTTTCTTAAAATCATTTGGTTCTTTTGCCTGTTTCATGGGTTCATTTTCCATATTCTCCTGCTAATTTGTAATGCATCTTCTGTCACATACTGCATTCCCACTGTCATTTTTGTGTGTGTGTGTCCTATACCTTCTTTCTGGATTCACCTTCCTTGTTAAAACGTATCACTTAGTAGTTTTTTAAGTTAGAGTCTAGGTGTTAAATTCTCCTAGAATTTGTATTCTGGAAAAGTTCTTTATGTTTATTCTTTTTATTTTATTCTTTTTATTTTTTAAAGTTTCTATTTATTTATTTGAAAGAGAGAGTGTGCACGAGTCGGGGGGGAAGGGGCAGAGGGAGAGGGAGAAGCAGGTTCCTCACTGAGCAGGGAGCCCGACGTGGGACTCGATCCCAGGACCCCAGGATCATGACCTGAGCCGAAGGCAGACGCTTAACCGACTGAGCCACCCAGGCTCCCCTTTATCTTTATTCTTGATGTAGTTTAGCTGGATATGAAATTATAAGATTTCCTCTCAGGATTTTGAAGCTATTGCTCCATTGTTTTCTTGAATCAATTATTGTGGAAGAGAAAAGTTCTGTGAGCCTAACAGTTATTCCTTTGTATATATTATCTTTTTTTTTCCCCTTTGATACCTTCTAAGCTTTTTATTTGTCCTTGATAATCTAAGATTTCACCATCACATATCTAGATATGGACTTATTTTTGAATTACCCTATCAGTATTTGGAATGCTTTGTCAATCTGTGGATTCACGTCACTCTTCAAGTCTTGGAAATTTTCATAATCAACTCTTGAAATAGTGTGCCCATTATTCCCTTCATTCTCTTTTTCTTCAACTCTTAACCTCTTTAGTTAGAGCCTCTCCTACCTTCATATCTGAGAATTGTGCTAAATTATGGGCAATCACAAAGAATACCTTTCAATTTATTATTTAAATGCTATCAGTACAGAATTTATCCCATCAGTTGAAGTTTTTTGATTGAATCTAAATTTGACTAATTAAGTGAATTTTGCCTAGGCTAACCAACTAAATTTTAAATTAAATAATTGTATTTTTCACTTCTAAAAAATTCTAATTTATGTTTATTTGATTCATTTTTATTTAATTTCTGCCAATCTTTGCTTCATTATGTTTTAATCCTTTTAAATGGATGGAATTCTTATATTTATCTCTTTGAACATCATAACAGACTGTAAATTTGTTATCAAATTGCTATACAAGGGGCGCCTGGGTGGCTCAGTCGTTAAATGTCTGCCTTTGGCTCAGGTCATGGTCCCAGGGTCCTGGGATCGAGCCCCACATAGGGCTGCCTGCTCAGCGGGAAGCCTGCTTCTCCCTCTCCCACTCCCCCTGCTTGTGTTCCCTCTCTTACTGTGTCTCTCTCTGTCAAATAAATAAATAAAAATCTTTAAAAAATTGCTATACAAAATATAATCTGCAATGTTATGGTTGTTGTTTTGATGTCTATCTTTTTTAGCATAGATTTCACTGTGTGTTTTGAAATACAAGCCCTAAGTTAACTTTGTTTTCTTATTGCCCTGTTTCTTGCTTATTCTTGCTGTTGAGACAGTTTAACCATTGCTTCCGTTCAGCTCACCACAGTGCCCAGTCTAGA